CGCATGTGCGAGACACCATAACTCCCTCCTGTCGCCGTTAGATGAGTGCCGTACCGGACGAGGCGCTCCCTGCTGGCCGCTGTTATCGTTGCAACAGTTGCTCCGCTGTTCTTCCACGACTTCTCCTTTCGAATCAAGAAGGACGCACCGTGCTGCCTCCGTTCTTTTTCGTTCCGATCAGTGGACGATTCGGCGAAAGAGTGGAAACGGCCGGCGGGGCTGGACCAAGGGCCGAAGAAAGTAAAGGCCGCCCGGAGCTTCTCGCTTCCGCTCGCCAAGCGCATTACCCTCCGGCAGCGGTGCTCTCAGCGTAACGACACCTTAGATATCCTGGAAAATAAGGAAAAAATCATTTTTGTATTTTTGTTATTTTTACAATTAGAATAGAATGCCGAGAAGAAGAATTATTATAATTTAGTAATCGTAATAAATTCGAAAATCGATGAATACGTTGAATATTTTTCGTAGAATAAGGATTATGATGTAGAAGATTTTCCTAAAATTTTTAGTATTGGAAAGTGACGCTAGAGGTCAGAAACTTCGCAGAAAAAGAAGAACGGAACAAGCAATGACGAGGAAATGGAAGAACTTGTTATTAAAACTTTTATTACATGTTAGTAATTTATTTTTATATAAAAAAAATTTTTTTATATTTGAGTTTATATTTTTAATTTATAAATTATTTTCTGATATGCTATCAATTTCTTCTTTTATTGATATTAGTTAGCAACGAGTAGTTATTACGTTTTCTTATAAATTTTATGAAATAACATGCACCATTTTTATTTGTCATTGTATAAGGCAATACACTAGTTATGGTAATCAATTATGAACATGATCTCATTTCTGATAGTTATAAATCACAAGACTGTAGATATTTATGTATTGTGCTAACAATAAATGACAATAATAATACGAAACTATCGTTTAATTTAACTTTCCCATTGTATTCGTAAAAATTTGACTCTATTCTACGTGGTGAATCTAGAATTCTATTCTACATGATGTCAAAACTGACAAATATATTTGAAAAATCATTCTGAATGCACTTTAGATTGATTCTCAAGTTTTTGTAGTCTAGATATAGACGTATATGCAATAGAACTGCGATTATCAGAACATTCATTATCCACATTATCTCTATTATCTCAATGCTCTATTATCCCTACAATATGTTATTACATTCAATCCTTTTAACATGTTTAATTCATTTCATGAAATCGTGTTAAGCAAAACGTAAAATTAAAAAAACCAAAGAAAATTGAACAACAAAATAAACAACAAAAAACATTCGTGATATATGAGAATTACAAGTTTATTAAATTGTATCATGTAAAGGAAAAACTGTTGTAATTTTTGCATTAGATTGTATCGTGTTAGAAAAAATTATTATTTTTAGCTGTTGGCAACACTTAATTTAAATAATTTAATAAACTAATAACTAAAACTAATTTAAATAAACAAGTAACTTTTTTTTTTATCTTGACTCCGTATACATATATATAAAAATATGAGTCACGTGAATTTGAAATTTTTTATATTATATTTTATATTATTATTTTTTATATTATATTTAGTTTTATTATATTTAGTTAAATAAATGCTTACATTTATTTAATTATATTTTTTATTTAATTTTATTTATTTAATTTATATTTAAGCTTTTTTATTAATGATATTAATGATATATCATATTAATGATACATGATACATTTGTATAATTAAAATATATTGTATTAATTAAAATATTATTATATCAATTGGTATTGTATTAATTAAAATATATAAATACATAATTAGAAATAATAAGATAATAGAAATAGAATAAATGCTTTTTCATAATCAACAATAATTGACATATATTTATATTCTAATTGTTTACAAAACTATGATAATTCAAAATGGATATATTATTGTTGAAACAAAATATAAAATTGTTATAAGAATTACAAATTTATCAAAAGTATATATAATATTGAAAATCAATGATTAATAGTTCAAAAAAATAAAAAAATTTACTTATGAATTATTACTTATCAACTTTACTTATGAATTATTGACTTTTACTTTGCTATTATTTAAATTGAAATAATATGACTGATGTAACATTGATTTGAATTTATAATAAGAGAAATAATAATAGAAAAGAAACAACACGTATCCATAAAATTTTTCAAAATATTTTAAACAAAACTACAAGAAATATATGAATACAATGTTGATAAAAATAAAGAGATATCTTCTCATCTTGAAACATTCGTAATTGTCGACTTAAAGCATAAAAAAAAAGGAACATCAAAAAATTATTTATTAAAAACTCAATTACTGAATGATGTATGTAACTTAGCATTTAAAAAGATATGAGATGTAAAATTGTTTCTTCGTATCATTTCATCTAAAATCCATAAAATTTAACGGAAAGAAAATTCTCGTTCTATTATTTGAAAATTCTATTATTTAAACACATTTGTCTCTCTGTAATTCCGATAATTGAGATTCTATTGTATCGATAAATATAATTCAGTCAAGAAACTGTTCATATTTATATCGAAAACTAAACGTACATAAATAGCAATTGATAACAAGGAATAAGGAAAGTTAGTCTTAGCATTATCACGATCAATATTTAACGATGATCTTATCATCTAATATTCATTGAATACAATTAATGAAACACACACATATTTACAAAGACATGACATGATTACTATAAATAATTCGAATATCAACATAACATATATATTCAAATAAATAATTATTATTAAAAGTTAAGTTTGAACTATTTGATTACTCGTACGTAGTTCATATCGTTGCACTTTCCATAACTCGAGAACGAAGATAAATCGTCCTCTCGTGTATTAATAAAATACTTTGTATAGAATTTCCTAAATATATATAATGTTTTCCTATATTTAGCAAAGTTTGTCAATTTTAATCCTGAATAATCATGAATATTCATCTTTTTGATAAAATAAGTGAAAAATCAATTTAGTTCTAAAATATGTTTCATTTAAAATAAAGGAATTTTGTAATCTAATTTAAATAAATAAAGTTTGTAATAAAAAATATAATAATTCAAAAATATAACTAGGTTTATAGTAAAAATTATGTATAATAAATGTAAAATCGATCTTCATAATTTTTTAAACAAGAAACACACGAAATTCTATACTTATTTTTTCTGCAATGACATTCGTAGAAGTATTTTGATTTTTTGATAATTAAAACTGGCAATTAAAAATTAATTATTTTTATGATTATATATCAATTTAAACTAGATCTTCCTATAATATACTTTGAAAGATAGTGTACGATGGAAAAAACTAAAGAAAATAATTTTTAATATAAAATAAATAAAATTCAATTATTATTAAATATATTACTTAAAAATAATAAATTCATTTATTGCACGCAAGATTATATATAGTTATATCTAATTAATAAATGTATGTTTATTGAAAATTTCTATCGACAAAGTAAATTCATATCTGAAAAATAGGATTCCAAAAAATAAATTTAATCAAATTTCAACAAGTAAAAAAATTCAACAAGTTTTTCAAATAGAAAAATTTGATTGAAAGAAAAAGTTGTGGAAGTTCGTTTAATTTACACAGGATAAAATAATTAATAATTATCTGGAAATAAAATAATTAATAATTATCTGAAATATCTCGATTGTTTTTAATAATATTAAAAAATGTTTCAAATAAAAATTGAAAATTAAAAGCTGAGCATATATTTCGACATTATTTTTTGTATGTGAGTATAAGAGTAAGGAATTATGTGAAAATCAGTTTTTAAATGGAATTGTATATCTTTTTGTATTAATCGATGCAACTCGATATTCTCTGTAAAAGAATATTAATTCACATATATGTTAAAAATTATTTATTTAAGAGATATTTAAATTTCATAAAATGAAATACAGAGAAAGTATGAATTGATGAGTATTGTTTTGTGCATTTCTCAAAAAATATTACAAAATTCAAATTAAAATATCTTCTATATTAATGATTTTCCATAAATTTAATACTTCTTTAAAAAATAATTATTTTTTAAAAAATGATTAATGTATGAAAAATTATGTGATTCCATTTAAAGACGTAAAGTTGTCAAATCGTCTTTATGCAACAATATATTAAAAAACTAATAATACCAGAATATGCATTTTTCGACATCATACAACTTTTATTTAAAACATTTTTTAATATTATTAAAGCATTCAAATATTTTAGATAATTTTATTCTCGATATTTTTTGTAAGTACACATACATTTAGCATTAACCATTTAAAATGATTAACAATAAAAGATTTCTCTATTCTTTTATTTTAAAAAATAATAACTAAATAAATGAAATTTTAAAAAGATTTTTTAAAAAGAATTCTTTTCATATATTATTAAATATAATACATTATAATTTAATACATTATATAATAATATATGGAATATCTTTAGAAGTCAAAATAAGCATTAAAGTTGATATAATAAAATATTGGTTAAAATTTATTTATTATAATTGAAGTTTGTGCTAAATGAAAAAAAACATAGATATAGACTTTTGTCTTCATTTAACACATTACTATTTTATTCTATCTCAATCTCGTTTCTTCTAATTAAATTGCTTATAATTTAAAAAACAAGCTTCAACTGATATTTTTGTATATCAATTTTTATGTTTGTTTTGATCTCGAGAATCGATTTTCAAAAGCTATTCCATTTAATATATCAATTCTGTATAGTATAAGAAAAAAAAATAGTTATTTTATTATTTTATATTATTATATTATTTTATTATCAGTTTTGAAAAAATAGTTTTAAAAATAGAAAAATATTTTTTTCTTGATAAAAAAAGTAAAAAAATGTATATTTTTATTACATTCATAAAATAAATATAATAAATTTTTTGATATATTATTAGAATTTTAATGATTAATTTATATATATCAGATATACATAAAAAAAATTGAAAGTCTTTAATACATAAAAAATACACAGGAAACGATAAGCCGGAATTTGAAAGCCATACATATCATTGCAGTATCACGCGTGATAATAAAGGTCAATGTTACGTATATATTTCATGTAATAATGAATATTCGATGGCGACATATTAGATAGCGCATATGAAAATTAACAAACCAGAGATTGAAATGGAAAATTTCAGAAATTGCTGATAAACACTCACTCATATATTAATGTTTAAAAAGGGCTTTTATGAATTATTTCTTCATAAGGGAAAATTTGAAATTTAGATTAAAACACTAAAATATTAAAAATACTTCAATTTCAAGCAAATTTTTGTATAATGTTTCAGAATTCTATTTTATT